GAGATAAGGGTCGGCCCGGAGCTCCGCAATAAACCTCTTATCTCTTGCTGTTGCATCAAGCCGGTGTCTTGGAGTCTTGGGTCTTCGCCGTCCACTCGGGACAGAACAGGACCAGCGGTTTGGGAGTCCTTCACAACTATAGGACCATAGCGACCAAATTCCCGACGTAAATCTTCAGACCTGGTGTCGTCAGCCACGTTCCTCACGAACAGAGACGTGTTGGGGGGACGTAGGTAGCGGGACATGTCGGCGTGGTGAAGCTCACCCACGGGCACTAACGGGCTCCACAAACGCTCCGCACGTCCTGCAGCAGCTCCAGCAGAATAGGCATTTTTTCCAAGGTGCCACTAAGTAGATCTGAACTGCCAACTTTTAGGTTAGTTGTCAGTGACAAACTGTTTGGACCATAGTCAGCCTCTGCCTTTGAGTTATTTCCAATTCATGTTATTTCAACTCATGTGCTGTCCAATGCATAGTGACCCTGTAAACAAAGTGGAACTACTCCAGAGAGTGTTCAAAGCTCCAAATCTATATAGAAGTAGACTGTGACATCTTTCTCCCTAGAAGCAGCTGGTAGGTCCAATCCGCTAGACTTCTCAATAGATGAACACTATAATAATAGTGCCACCAGGGCCCCCTTTTGCCACTTAGAAACTTCTAAACACTTGGGGCCTGGTGCTAGGAAAGGCTGTTCCTTGTATAAGAACATAATGCTTGAAAGACCCTCAACTGGGTGGTCTGACACCGTGACTACAACAATGGGCTCTAGTGTGGTAGAGATTGTAAGGGAGGCACAGGATAGGACAGGGTACAGGTCTGTTGTTCATCAAGTCCCTGTGAGTCATACCCAACTCAACAGCACCTAACAGCAACAAGAAAGAAGACGCCTCAGATTCATTTAACCTGAAAAAACTACCGTCAGGCTAAAGGATTCACTCCTAATTATTGCATTTTCTTTCCCCATAAACTATTGATGAAACCAAAGAAACACTTCTTTTCTAATACACAATGTGGAAACATTATATCTTAAATACTAGAAAACAGAATTTTCATGAAATTTAATTAAGCATTTTAAGGAATCCTATAAGAAACTTCCACAAGAAAGATATAGGTGATCTAAACATAAACACCAAGTGGTGTCATGAAAGAAAAAAGGAGTATTTGTGCCGAGCACATGCATGCTATAAATAAATCTTTAATCATCTTACCTCCCATGTTTTCCAATCCATTGATCACAGTCTCTTTGATCTGCAAATTAGAAAAGCTAGATTTAATTTTGTTTAGACTTCAATGTTTGTTTAATAGTTCCCCTTTTCTTTTGCAAAAGACAATAATATTGCTTGGCATTTTCTGCCTAAAAATAGATGTGGTTTTTTTTTATAGCATGTAAGTAACAAAAAGAACTTTTGATTAGTTGACTTTTTATAATAAAATACTACCTTCCAAGGCATAGTCTTCAGTTAGAAGCTGTCCTCTTTCCAAAATATTAAATGCATAAGAACATAGAACTATATACCATGTGAAAGTTTCAAGAACACCCTAGATATGGGTTTGTGGTCCCCAGATTAGTAACTCCTGATTTAAAACAATAACCAAGAGTGATATATCAGTGTCAAGGAGAGCAGGAAAAAAGGTGATAAAACAGCTAGGGGCAGTGGGAGGTGACTGAATAATTTGATTAAGTACAGCTTCTGAGAGGTAGCTGTTGTCGTTGCTAAGTGTCACTGAGTCACCTGCTATTCACAGTGACCCTAGGTACAACAGTTCTGAACCCCTGGTCTATCTTGAGCCAACCTCATTGCCTCTGACACACCTACCCCCATCACCCCAGTCACTGAATCAATCCATCTTATCCAGGGTCTTCCTCTCTTGTGCTGTCCCACCACCCTCCCAAGCAAGATGTCCCTCTCCAAGGACTGGGACATGCACAAAGTATGTCAGATGGAGCTTCAGAATCCTTGTCTCCAAGGAGCAATCTGATTTCACCCTCTCCAGGACAAACCTGTTTGTTCTCCTAGCAGTCCATGGTATATTCAGTAATCTTCTCCAACAGCTCAAAGGCATCAATTCTCCTCTCAGCTCTAGTCATTGTTCAGCTTTCTGATGCATATATAGCAAGTGACTGCAAAGACCATGGCCTTCATCATGCACGTGTAAATTTTTATACTACAACCATTTTATATTTGGAAAAAACTTTGATTTTATAGTACAATCCATGGAAAATAAAGCTTCCCTTAGATAAAGGGAGTAAGAAGTCAGGGTTTCTCAATTAGAAGCTACTTTCTTGGGAGACAAAATAACTTTTTATGCAGTGAAACTTATGAAAGCAGGAATTTGAAGAACTGATTTGGCTTCCAGGTCTCACAGTTTTCCATCTTTTACAGAGTGCAATCTTACTCCTATTCTATTACTTGTTTGGTAGGAAATATTTTGAGTTTTCCTTCTCTCAAAGGTTTGACCTTAAAGAGGTTATAGCTTTAGTATGGTTATTATAACATTCAATAACACGTTTACTTACAGGAATTTTTATTATAAAATGAATAGTTTTGCTATTTGTTTTTAGATGCAATCAAGTCAACTATGATTCATAACAACCCTAAGAACAATGGATCTGAACCCCTCCCTAACTGTACCATCCTCATCATTGCTGATTGATTTGAGTCGAGTATTATAGTCACTGTGTCAAGCCATCTCATTGAGGGTCTTCCTCTCTTTTGCTGGTCCTCCACCAAGCGAGGTGTCATTTTCCAAGGACTGGCCCCTCCTATATGCTCAAGTTATGTGAGGTGAATCACTGTTCTTATCTCCAAGGAGCCCTATAACTACAATTCCTCCAAGACATATTTGTTTGTAATAAATTAAAATCATACCAAAGTGTATCAGGTGGCAGGAAGCATTATACTGATAAACAATAAAAGCAAGCTATACCTTGAGTTTTCCTTCCTTAAACCACTTGCTCAGCTGTAGAATGCCAGGTTCAAATTTGTCTTTATAATTTAACACCATAAATCTTTCCCTGTAGTGGAAGACAAAAGCATAATGATTAGAGCATGGGGTGTGTGTGTGTGTGTGTGTGTGTGTGTGTGAAAGAGTTCAAGAAAAAAAATCACTGTAGAATGCTATCTTCTTGTCCCTCGGATGTTAGCATTTAATCACGTGGAATTTGACCAAAGAGTGTTTTAGGTGTAGTTACAGGAATAGGTATAGGTAGTAGTCCTATTGTTTCTGTCTCCTCAAGATCTAAAACCTATTTTAGTGACAGCATCTTTATTTTTTTAGGAATAAAAAGAAAACTTTATTGGCAAGTTTTTACATGGGTAAAATAATATTACATACAAGAAGAAAGTAAATGATTGTGGCAAGAAATAGTATTTATTGAAGAGTTAACCTCATTTAAATCTACTGTCTCTTCTATGAGCTAGGAATTATCAGTTAGCTTATTTACAGTAAAGGAGACCAAGATTTTGTTGCTGTTGTTAGGTGCCAAGATTCTGAAGGCAGAGTAATTTGCCCTTGGGTGTCTGAGTTGAGATTAACTAGGTGTTTCTGACAGTGACAGCATCTTGATGTTCTTTTATGAACAACACTTTTCCCCATCTTCACGTGACCTGTTGATGTTTAGGTTCCACTGAGTCAACTAAGATGCACAGCAACCCCAAAAGATCTGAATCCTGTGCCCTGTCTTGTGTCTTCTCAGTATCTCTGTCATGTTAAAACCACCGTTACAGTTATTGTGTCAATCCATCTTGTGAAGGAGCTTCCTCTCTTTCTTTGATCCTCCACATTTCCCAGCATGATGCCTTTATTCCCAGGACTAACCCATCCTGACAACATGCCCAAAGTATATGAGACAAAGTCTCACCATCCTTGCCTATAAAAAACACTGTTGTACTTCCTACAAGACAGACTTGCTTGTTCTTTTTGGCAGTCCATGGAATATTCAGTACTCTTCTCCAACACAGCAATTCAAAGGTATCACATTTGATAATTCTTTTGTAATTCTTATTCACTGTTTAACTTTCAGATTAATAAGAAGTAAATGAAAATGCCATGGCTTACATCAGGTGCACTTTAGTCTCTAATCTGACACCCTTGCTCTTCAGTACTTCGGAGAGGATCATCACAGCAAAATTTCTCAATCAAATTCTCCCTTCTGATTTCTTGATTACTGAGTGTTGATTGTGGACCCAACTAAAAGTAACTCCTTGACAATTTCAATCTTTCTTCATTTACAATGATGTTGCCTGATGGCCCAGTGAGGAGGATTTTTGTTTTCTTGATGTTGAGATGTAATCAACATTGATTTCTGTAGTCTCTGATCTTCTTAAGTGCTTCAAGACTTTTGTTTGAATTTCTGCAAGCAAGGCTGTGTGATCTGTAAAACACAAGTCGTTTTCCAGTCTTCCTCCAACCTTGATGCCACATTCTTCTTTACACAGTGCAGCTCCTCAAATGATTTGCACAGCATACAGGTTGAATAGGTGTCAAGAAAGGCTACAACCCCAGCACAAACCTTTCCTGATTTAATACCATGCAGTGTCTTCTTGCTCAATACTTATGTGACCTAAACCAGGATGTTCAGAGGCAAGGATCAGCAGCTTTAGGGCTTGAAGCCACAAGGAAACAGCAACTTTCTTTTCATTTATATTGCTAAACTTGTCAAAGGTAGGGCTGGAGTTACCAGTCATTCTTTTGCTACCATGAGGGGAGAGCCTGCAGAGAACAGTGCCAACCCAGAAGACAGCAGAGCCCAGAGGTGCAGAAAAACTAAGACCTAAGACCTGATGCCATGGTACAAACACTGTATCCAAATAAATTTATCATAAATACATAATCATATATCTGAATGGCTCAGATACATGCACTAATAGATTTCATTTGCACTCATTAAACCAGCATACACTGTGTTTGTATCACAACCAAGAGTTCTGATAGAAAACTATCATATTTTTGTTTTTTAAGATTTCTGCTAAGGTCAAATAAACCAAAATCTAAATTTTGAGCTAGCTTCAACATTCATATTTTTCATTTAAGGCAACTGCATAAAAGACCAAAATTTATACCAGAGGTGGATATAAGGGAGAAATGGGGAAGTTATTACTTAAGGAGTATTTAGTTTCGGTTAAAGAGGATGGAAAATATTTGAAAACAGTAATGGGGGCAGGTGTAGATGATAAGGTTGGCTGAGGATAGAGGAGGGTTCAGAGCTGTTGTACACAGGGTTGCTAAGAGTTGCAAGCAACTCAGTGGCACATAAAATCACAACAATTATGGTTAAACAACATAGTAAATATAATTGTCATTGAATTGTACACTAAAATATGCTTGCAATGGCAAATCTTTTGAGATATATTTAGGTAGTTGTTGTGTGCCACGGAGTTAGAACCAACTCATAGCTGATCCTCAAGCACGCTTTTAGGTGTAGTGAATCACAGGAGGAAACTGCCCAGCATTCTCCCATGGAGCAGCTGGTGGGTTCAAACTGAATGTCTACAATGGGCTTGTAACACAGCTTCTTATCCCTAGGTTACCAGAGCTTCATACATGTATTTATTTCTATTTCACAGCATTAAAAAATTTTAAAGGCATATTTTTCAAGTTTATTTAGTAAAGCAAAATATTAATAACTATATTTCATATACATCTCTGATGTATAAGCCCTCCAGTGGCAAGAAGCTGCGCTGCAATCTCAAAGGCACATGGTTTAAGGTCACCAGCTGCTCTGTGGGAGAAGGATGCGTAATCTCCTCCCGTATGATTAACTGCTTCTGAAAAACACCAGAGAGTCAGCTATGGGTTGGTTCTGACTGTATAGTACAAAAGAACCTGGTAATCAGGGCAAAGGAGTAGAACGTACCTTGTGATGTTGTTTTTTTCCCGGATGGCTTCTATAGCAGGGGGCAGTGGTGGAGGGTAAGGCACATCCTTGTTATACTGAGAAATTTGACCACACAGTATGATGTGGCTATTGGGATTCATCTGTTCAAAGAAAACTGATAATTATATTCAAAGAGCTATACCTTTCTAATGTTGACTAACTGTATACTTGTCTCAATGAAAGTCCCTGTGACTGTATTTATTCAGTCATAATAATAACTGGTTCAGTACCAAGCAGTTAATTTGGTTCTAGAGATTTACCCATTAAGTGAAATTAGAAGTTTTGATTAGTCTAAGTCTACTCTAAAGGAACACAGAGGTGAGAGTCAGATAACAGCAAAAGAATTAATTAGGTGTTATTGCTCTTGTTGATACTTTCATTAGTTGTTAAAGATTAGAGTTGCTGTTACATGCAACGAGTTGACTAAGACTCATAACAAGTCTACTAACAACAGATTAGAACCCTTCCCTCTCCTGTGCCATTCTCACACGCTCTGCCTTAAACACCTTCATCTTAGCTGCCCACAATATAACACATTATAAACCTGTCCATGTGCTTCATCGGCTTCTAGAAAGACGACAGCCCAGAAAACTGTATGAAGCAATAGGGTCACTGAGTCAGAATTGACTAGATGAGACACAACAACCACCATCCAAAGTCAAGCACCCTAGCTGTGGGTTGGTTAATGGTGAGATTATGAATCAGGGGTCAGAACTTTGTCATTTAAACATGTTACTGTAGTTTTTCATTAAAATAAACCGAAGATGAAATATATACAATTGCTAGGGAAGAACGGAAATTGATACTCCTGGGGCAACTCTGTAAGCAAATAGTAGTAAATAGCAGTAAGTCTTTTCTGTTACCACTTAATTACAACACAGATGATCATTTTGTTACAATAAACTCTATCACTTTCCAAAGAGCTTCCCAGTATTAAGGGAAAGAAACCACAAATGGCAAATGTTGTTGTAAGTTCTTTTTAACCATAACCCCCCCCCATAAATACAATATTCAAATTTATAATAAAAACAAAGTAACAACCTGACTTATCACAGCATCAGTGATGTCACCACCAACATTGTCAAAGTAAACATCCACTCCAGTGGGGCACAATTCTCGTAGTTGTTCACTCACAGCCCCCTTTTTATAATTAATTGCACCATCAAAGCCCAGTTCTGAGGTCAAAAAGAGGCACTTCTCTTGCGTCCCACAAATTCCCACCACATTGGAACAGCCAAGCAAATGGCCAATCTAGGAAAAAATTTTTGAAAAATAAATGACTTCTCATATTGTGACATTGCAATAGAAAACTGTGGAAATACGTAAAACACTACAAAAATATAAATCTATTACCCCACAATTTAGATTAGATGATAATAATTTTAGCTAAAAATAATATGATAAAATTGAGGTTGGGGAAAGAGTATTATCCATACTGAAAAAGAAATGAAATTAAAAAGTAATTAAATTCTGTTTAAATGTTAAAATACCACAATTTGAAGTGATTTCGTGAAGAAAATATTCAAACCCAAAACATCATTATCTCACAATTCTATTTTTTTCAGGCCTGAAGGAATTGAAAACATCAATAAGATAAAATGGTTGTTTCAATGGTTTCACATGACAGAAAGCTATTATTTATACAACAAAGCACTTAATAGCAGACCAAAATATTTACTAAGTTTCTAGAATCTAATGACTACTTTCTCATTTGAGGATTTTTTTAAAACATGAGTTTCGGGGAGCTCTGGTGGCCTAGTGGCAAGGAACTGCAACTATAATCCCAGAGGCGCACGGTTTGAATCCACCAGATGCTCTGCCGGGGAAGGAGGGACAATCTCCTCCTATACCAGTCAGATCTGATTTGACGGTACATGCACACAAAAGAGAAAAAAAAACCAACAAAAAAACATGAGTTTCTTGTGCTACAATCTCGTAGGCATGCGGTTCGAATACACCAGATGTTCCACTGGAGAAGGGGGGGCAATTTCCTCCTGTACCAGTCCGATCTGACTGCGTACACAACAAGAGAAAAAAAAAGTATTTAAAAAAAAAAAAGATTAAATTCTAAAACATGAGTTTCTTTTTTGAATTCATAGAATTCCAGACAGTTGCTCTATGAGTCTTTTTTTTAATATTGATAAGAGTAATGATTTCTCATATACCATGTCCATTTTTGTTTAACAGAATATTGTTGTTATGTGTTGTCAAGTCGCCTGCGACTCATAGTGACCCTATGTACAACAGCCCTAAACTCTGCTCTACCCTGTAAACCTCACTGTCTCCGACATACCTACCCCACTTACACCAGTCACTGAATCAATATAATACATAAAAATCTATAATATGCGCTCAGTACATACACTAAACTGGAACGATACAGAGAAGATTAGCATGGCTCTGTATAAGGATGACATGCAAATATGTGAAGTGGTATTTTAAAAAACTATGTTTTTCACAATTTTATTACGCACCTAAGTAGTATGATAATGTGTGTCAAGAAGGTGTAAAATGTTATATTCCATTTTACATTACATACATATGCTGTTGTTGTGTGCCCTCAAGTCAGAACTGACACATGGCAGACCCACCAGTGGGTATTCCGTGGCAATTTAATCATAAGGGAGGAGACTGCCTAAGGTCACCAGAATGTCATATATATATATCTATATATATATAGATATATATATATATGTTGTGTTATTATGTGCCGTTGAGTCACCTCCACCTCATAGTGCCACTATATACAACAGCTCTGAAACTTGTCCTGTCCTGAGCCAGTCACATTCACTCTGACACACTTACCTCCATTGCCCTATTACTGTATCAATCCGTCTCATCCGGGGTCTTCATCTCCTGCCCTGTTCCTCCAAGTTTCTGAGCATGTTTTTCTCCAAGGATTGGTCCCTCCTGGCCACATGCCCTAAGTATCTGAGACAGAACTTCAAAATCCTAGCCTCCACGGAGAAACTTGGTTTCACCCTCTCCAAGACAGACACCTATTAGTTTTCTCGGTGGTCCATGGTACGTTCAAGACTCTTCTTCAGCACCACAACTTGGGAAGGTTTCAATACTTTTTCTGTTATCCTCAGTTACTGTCCAGCTCTCTGATGCATAGCAAGTAATTGCAAAAACCATGGCCTGGATCAGGCACACATTAATCTCTAGACTGACATTGTTGCTTCTCAGTACTCTGGAAAGGTCCCAAGAGCAGATTTACTTAATTATGCAATTCATCTTTTAATTTTCTGACTGCTGGTACCAAGAGTTTGGATGTGGAGCTGAGCAAGTTGAAATTGTCAACAACCTCACTCTTCTCCATCTATCATGGTGCTGCCAATTGGCCCAGTGGTGAGAATCTTTGTCTTCTTGATGTTAAGCTTCAATCCATATTGAAGACTACAGTCCTTGACCTTCTGCAGCAAGCACTTCAGGTCCTCCTCAGTTTCAGCAGGCAAGGTTCTGTCATATGGATAATGCAGTTGTTGATGAGTCTTCCTCCAATTCTGATGCTACATTTCTCCTCAAAAATCCCAGCTTCCTGAATGATCTGTTCTGCATACAGATTGAAAAGTTGTGGAGACAGGACTCATCCTTGACATACTCTTTTCCTGATTTTGAACAATGCAGTGTTTCCCTGCTCTGTTCTGAGAACTGTTTCCTGATCCAAGTATAGGTTTGGCATAAGCACAATCAAGTGTTGGCCTAGTGGCAAGAAGCTGTGCTGCAATCCTGAAGGCATGTTGTTCGAGGCCAGAAGCTGCTCTACAGAAAAAAGATGGGCAATCTCCTCCAGTGTGATTAACTGCCTCTGAAAATCCATCGGGGGGTGGGGTGGAGGGGTGGTGGAGGTGGTGGTGGTGGTGGTGTCAGGTATGGGTACATTCTGACTCCAGAGTACACAACAATATAGTTACTGAGAATTAAGCTGGGTATATGTATTAGGAGATTTAAATATGATTACTTTTTAAGAAAATCAACTAAGTTTCCAAAAGCTTACCTGTCCAGCCAAAGACCCACAAGCACCAGCAGCACCACTGACAACCATTGTCTGATTGGATCCTGCAGTTACATGGCCTTTTTCTTGTATCCCAATCAAGGAAGTTAAGCCAGGCATACCTATAGCTCCAAGAAAGTAAGAAAGGTGTCCATCCACAAGCTGAGGGTCCACCTAAAACAAAATATTAGCCTTTAAAAATAATAGTAGGCATTTACTCCTGTTGTAAACAGTATGGTAAAGGCCAGCTCCTTAAACAGACACTGTCCTTAAGTAGACACTCATTCTGTCTTGTTAAAATGTTATAATTTACTGAAGGAAAAGAACAAAACAAAAACCCAACCAACAATCAAAATGGCTATACAATATAATCTCACCCCAGCAATAATAACAAAGTTTAAGAGGGTAGCAAACAACAAATGCTGGTGAGGTTATAGAGAGATTAGAAATCTTATTCACTGCTGGTTAGAATGTAAAATGGTAAAACCATGATGGAAAAAAGTCTGGCATTTTCTCAAAAAGGTGGAAATAGGAGATACTAAGTCTAGACAAAGAGGGCCAACGGGAAGAATTCAGAATTCAAATGCTGATGACCTTGCCTGCCGCTGATAAGAAGAGCAAACAGCTTTGTCTGCCTAGCTAAGCTAACAAGTGGACCATAAATCAAAGTGGAATGTCCCTCCCTAAAGATTCTGTTCTAAAAATCCTCCTTGATAACTTCACAGTATAACATCCCATTGTGCATCTCCAGAATGAGGAACCTACCTGGGAGGTCCCAGATTTCCCTCCTTTTAATAAAGCTGCATTAAGCTTTTTCTCATTGTAATTCTCTCCTTAAGTCTACTAACTTAACAGAAATAATATTTGACAAGTTATCTCACTATTGAGAATATATACTAAAGAAATCAGAGCAGCAACACAAATAGACCTATATTATCTGTTCCATTATTCACAAGAGCAAAGAAATTACGTAGCTCAAGTGTCCATCAACAAATGAACAGATAGAAAAACTGTGGTACGTTCACACAATGCAAAACACTACACAACATGGGTGAGCCGGGAAAGACATTATGCTCAATGAAATATGTCAGTCACAAAAAGACAAATAGTGCATAACACCACTGTTACAAAATAGGACTGACATGGAAGTGTTGAGGGATGAACTGGAAAAGTGGACAGATAATGAGCATTGTACTAGAATAGATGAGGGTAAGGTGTGTCTGAAAGGAATATATGATTAGGTATTACATGCATGACAATTAACAAGCTATAACAAGAGGTATATTACAAAGTGGGCTGGGGAAGGGGGAAGGAGAGGGAGAGAGGAAAAGGTGCAAAGAATGAATAAAAACCCAACTTTTTGTAAAATTCACTAAAGTCACAATTTAAAAAAGTAAAAGAAAATTCACCTCTCAAAAAGCTCAAACTGACTGTGTTTAGTCAAAACTAACTTCTATTCATAAATATTACTTCTCTTGCAAATCAAGACAACCATGAGATATCATCTCACTCCAGTAAGACTAGCAAAATTTAACAGAACAGCAAGCAACAAATGCTGGCGAGGTTGTGGAGAG